CCACAGATAAGCTGACCCTCAAAATGTTTTAATTTTCGCAAATGGGTGGCACACTTTTCATGGCATTTTGGTTAAAAATTCAAGGGTCAGCTTATCCACAAGTATATACAGGTACTTTAAAAAAGCTGAGGGGAAAAAAACTATCATATATATACTCATGGATAAGTCCATCCATGGATAAGCTGAACCCAATTTTGGGGTGTGTTTTTGCACCTAAAATTCTCGGCTTATCCCCAGGTATATACAGTATCCTGCTTTTCTCTTGTTTAAGCTAGTATGCATATTCCTCCATGATTATTGTTACATTTCCAGAGAAAAACACATAAATGGCTTCATTCTCAGCTAAGAAGGCCATTAAGATAGGAGAAGATTGAACTTTTCCTCCCTGACCTCTCTCTAAATAGGACAAAATAGCTTGATGTGAAATGGCTTTTTGATTCAAACTCTTGTTTTAACACAGTCTCAGTGCCACCCTCTTACCCTCAAAGAACAAATAAATATTTTTTTAAAAAAACAATCCCAATGCTTTTACTTTGTTACATAAGAATTGGCTTTATTTTTAAAGGGAAAGGATGTTTTAAACAAGGGGAAAAAATCAAGACGGTAAGGAAGACCAACCAGAAAACATCAGCCACCTAGTTCAGGGACAGCTCCTCCTGATGCACATCGGTACTGCATTCCCTATGGTTTTAATCTAGCTATTGCATAATAAAGGAGTCCTCTGGAAACAGACCTCTAGTTCTACTTAAGGAAATCTTCCAAGCTGCTAAAAATACAAGTAGGAACATATTCCATCTGTTCTAAACTTGTCCCATACATCTTTGACAATTGTAGATAATAAAAGAACAACAGTCAGCATAGCTGCAGAACCAAACAGTAGGAAAATTCCCTCTTCTTGCCTTTGGAAGCTGAGCCAATAATTGAAAATAATGATGTTCTCTATTCAAGTCATTTATCCCCATGTTTGCTTCAGCTTCTCTTGTTTATATAGCTATCCAAACAGTTTGTTAACTGTAAATCCATCTGGTTTCCACCCACCATCCACTTCTTTGATACAAGATTGTATGGCTGTTATTTTTCCATGTGGTTAGGCTAACTAGCGAAGGGCCCCAATATTCACTTGACATCAGTTGAACATGTGAATTTCCTTTCACTTCATAACTGTAAAAGAGAAAGTTAAACAACCATTGCTATCACAATGAATAATACTGAGCTAGATGGGCAATTGGTTTAAACTGAAATGGCCGGTGGGGTTCTATATGTCAGTGGTGAGCAACCCACAGCCTGTTCTGCATATAAACCCCAAGCCCCCTTTGTGCAGAGTCCTGGAACTCTGCTGATTAAAGCTGCTGAAAATTGACATACAATTTCCCATCATCTTGAAGTGGGAAGCTCACAAAAACCTCCATATACACCCTAAAATATGTATAAGAATATGGTTAAGAAGAAAAAAAAGCACCTTATCAAATCTTTGAAAAAAGATTGAAATCCTGAATTCATCCAGATATGTGACGTATATCCACCCACTTTGCATTACTACTGCAATGTATTCGTCATCCTTTGAAAAACAGTGTGTAGCCCTCAAGCCTCCAAAACTTTGCCTAGTTGATTATCCTCTGTCAGCATGAGGGTGCAGTTTCCTCTTATACTCAGAGCAGCTTACATGTGTTGCTTCTTCCTCCTGCCTTTCCCCTATTTCATCAGATGATTCGCTCTGTGCTTCCTGGCATTGAAGCTGAGCAGTTGTTAGTTGCTGACCTGATGTCTCTGTCCTGAGGTCTGGCTCTCATCTCTGACTATAAGAACTAGGAAATCTAGCATTCTTCTTGCAGCCCCTATTCTAGGTAAACAGATCAGATATTTAAAACTTGCTGGTGCAGACAGCATTTCACTCTGCAAATGACTCCTGCTTCCCTCCACTCCATGTAAAACTAATCACTAATGTCACAAAAACATCTATCGGTCCTTGAATAGAGGTCGCCTCCTTTTAAATAGCAGTCACAAGTGTTCTAAGTGCAAGAAATGTTCAATGTGTGTGCAGATTATGACAAGTGGACTATAAAAAAACAAACATGTAATTTTGCCCCAGGAATACATAATCTGAGGTTGTGTGTCACCTAAAGTTGTATTTTACATGGGAATTTTAAATCTAACTGGGCTGTTCATGAGCCTTGCAATTATGAACACAATACAATAGGAAAAACTTTTGGCTTCCTTTAGTACTCATCAGAAACAGCCACAAGGAAATTCTTACATACTATCTTTAATTGTTTTGTTTTTAGCTTCAGTAGTCCTCAGTTTAATTAGCATCAAAGTAGCTGATTCTGTCAAAATGCTGCAAGCAATTACTGTTTTGGCTCTGTGGTGCTTCGTGAGATTTCAGGAAGCACTGAATCACTGCCTTGCACAGCTTGTCTTTCAAACTGCAGAATTTGAAGAAGTCTGAAGAAGAAAAAGAATTGTTTCATAGTACGTAGAAAAGGATCCTCACAAAAGGCCTGCATGTGTGGCTCTGTCAATATAATATATACTTTTCAATAGCTCCCTGCGTTCCATGTTCAAAATGAAAACTCAATGCCAAATATCTTCATTTTTTATCAGTCAACAGGCAGTTAATATTATAACTGTACTAAAATCCTGAGGAGAAAATATAAAAGTGCCAATGAACTCTTGCAAATACTGTAGAACAGATTTTCCTAACCTGATGACCTCTAGATGTGTTTCAGCTCATATATATCTAGAGGATATTGGTTGGGGACTACTGAAAAAAGAGTTACCATATAAAGGAACTGATTAAGATCTAAAGGAAAGAGGCAGTATTATACCATAAAACACATGTACTCAATAACTGCTGAACAAGACAAACATAATTAAAATTACTTTACTTTCATTTTAATTTTGTAAATCCTTTACAAAAAGTATTTTAAAATTAAACATAAATTAGCAATATAAGATTCCTGTTTTGACATTAAATATCAACATATTTTTAGTTTATAAAAATAAAGTATTTTATACTCTTTTGATTTAGACAAAAACAAAGCCGAATATAACAATTCCAGAATACCCTTACTAATCCAAGCTTTTTATCCCAAGAACATGGGAGTTAAAAGCAACTGCCTATTTCTCAGTCGCTTCCATTCCCATAATTATAGCAAATTAAAGCCCAAAAATATAATAACCATCCCAGATAAATGAGAAATTATTTTAGAACATAACTATCTCATGGATCTCTTTTGTCCAAATGTTGACATCAGTTTCTAATCTCATTCTGGTTTTGACAGTATCTGAATTTGCATAGGTCTTCTAAAATAAAGATACAAAATATGTTGTCATTGTTGATTGGTCCTGTTTTTAAGATTACAATATCCATCTGTTGTTGTTGTTTTAGAAACATGTAAGGTTGACTAAAAATTATCTAACATCAGGTTTTTTTTTTTAAAAAAAACTTTTTAGTAGGCAAAAAAATAGAAATATGGCAGAGGAAAATGTATGTTTCTATATTGCCAAAGCACAAGATTATTTTATATGCTAAAGAAAGTTAAAAATAAAATCCAGAAAAGATCAGCTCAGCTCTCTTGCATAATAGAGTTCTAGATAACTCAGATGTTTGCACACTATTTTGTAACATTCAACTTGCTGAATGAAAATATTGCTCTAGTGTGAGAATCTTTGGTTTTCCTTTTTTAAAAACAAAGTCAAGATTATAATGACTTTTCATAGCTACTCCAGAATTCCTAAAATGGCTTAAAGTCTACCATAAGCAACAAAGCCATTTCAATGGCATTGCTGCAATAATTTTTGGAACACTTCACCCAACAAAATATTGTGATGGAATTAAAAACTATTATTGGTAGCAATATTGCTTAGAAAATAATTGAGCTCAAGCTAAAAACAAATGCAATGGATATAATCTAATAGATTATTTCATACAGAATCTAATAAACTATTACAGTTAGAATCTAATACGCTACTGTACTTGAGAAACCATGTGGGAGACAAATATGCTAGCAAAACAGTAATATGAATATTGAGTAATATTTATATGATCCATGATTTAGCCTTGCCATGGTGCTAAATTCATAAGTGTTTTAAAAAATACAGATACAGAATTGAGCATCAGAAGACTTGGGCACAACATGGCCACCGAACTAGCTGTTTCATCTCCTAGAATCTTTGTGCTCCCATTCCCAACATTATTTCTCATTTTTAATTAAAACATAATGCTGCTGATTTTTCAACCATCTTGCCACCAATTTTGGCAATTTTGGTGGCAAGATCTTGGATGCTTAAGGACCACGCAAATGGGTTACAAGGCACCACATACAGCCTGCAGGCTGCAATGATATGTGGAACAGACCTTGGGAGACTCAACAAAGAGACACTGCCAAGGGAACAGTCAGATGAGAGACAGCATAGCCCACAACTGGATAATGGGCAGGGCAAGAGGCTCAGAAGAGACCCTCCCTAGTTTCTCAGGCTGTAAAGGAGATGG